GCAGAAGCTGGTCACATGCCCAGATGCAGTCAGGTTATGTGAAGGTACACTAATATTATAGACTGCTGAATATGCATGAAACAAGCTTCTGGACGATCTCCTGAGCGACTCCAAGTTCTGCTGACCCGATGAGACGTTGCGCACGGCAGTGTCGGAAGACTGCAGGTCATCGGTATAGATTTGGGAACTGCTGACTCGTACGCCGCGGGCCCATTTTCGCAATGTCTCATCTGCGGAGGCTTCTGCAGATTTGATGAACTGCAGCTGTCTGAGGTGGCATACATCCGCGGGGGTGCCATTGAAGTTGTCCAGAATGAGGCTTGGCTCCCGCTTCGTGCTGTATGACACTGGCACAAGTTTCACGCGCCAGACGAGTTGGAAACCCAGATGGTGTTTAGTTTTATGCTTTAACGCGACACGACCAACTGTAGTTTGTCTAACAAGGAGAAGGCAGCCAGGTCATGCAAAATCAGTGTAGCCAGAGTCCAGGCCGTGTGATAGCAGTGTTTTCGCGTTTGATTCCACCAGCATCAGGCCCACTAATTAGTTTCGATGCCACAGTATCCAAGCTGTCTCTTGATTGTGTGGCACCTGCTGACCAGGCAGTTTCCACCGTGAAGTGAGTCTGGTTGATAGATTACAGAATATTACAGATGTCCATAGCATTACACCATGTGTGCAGTGGATACAAGAACGGAGCTGACAACGGTATTGTCTGTGGGTTCGATCCCTCCACTTCACCACGCGAAAGTCTGGTCTCCCAGTGTGGGAGAAAAGAGTATGCGTAGATGATGCTCAAGATGTCACCAGAACCACAGGCTCACATGAGTCGCAGGAGACTCTGCGAGGAGATGTCACGAAAGATAGCTCCTTGGAGCTTGCGGGAATTGTTGTTTCCAAATTTCTTCTTGGACAGACTAGCACTTCGAGGTTCGCAAAGGGGGGGCAACCACCTCCCCCACTTTTTGTTTGATTCTTCACAGAGTTAGCTTTTCGATTAGGGAGGGAGGGGCCCGCCCCCCCTCCCCCTCCCCTCAAGGCCCCTTCGCTCAGTCGGTTTCTGGTTTCAACGGGTTGAGCTATCAATGGCGTGAGCTATTGTGCTTGCCGCGGCTGATTCTGTCATGCAATGCTTTTTTGTGGTCCATCGGCATTGCAGCATGCTCGGCAACTTTCTCTGCAAGGTTTGGCCCCTGCCCTGCACGCAAGCCCGCCGAACAACCTATCGCTTCTCTACTTGCTTATCCCTCGGCGTTTCTACTTCTTGGCCCCCAGCTTTCGTCCGCCCTGCTCTCAAGTCCAAGAGTCTAAGGACAAGCAACGTAGTCAGCCGGCCCCAACATCCAGGCAATGTTGATCTGCAACTCTTCGCGGCTGCTCCGGCCCGGCTTGCGACCTGTCCCCGATCTCCGGTGCCCGCTCTGGCAGCTGCCAGAGCCATATCTTCGAGGATTCTCAGGTCGGCTGACCAGAACTGAGACTAACTGAGTCCGCTTGCCTGCACGCCCTGGTAGCCCCAAGCACTGTGGCCGGGGGACGAGAGGTTCTGGACGTCTTTGGGGGTCGGTTTTGCTTCCCACTACCAACGCGCCTGTCGCATTTCGGGCCGGCGACCGTACAATGGAGCTGAAGCCATTCAATCGGAAACCAGGCATTACATGGGTTTAGAGTTCAGGGAGGTGCAGAAGATTGTCGGCAGTCGTGAATCTTCTTAGATCTCGGCTGTCTTCAATCAGTGGATAGTCGAGTATTGCAGGCATATCACCGGGCACTGTTAGATAGAGAGAGAGAAGTTCACCTCTGCAAAGTACTGGTAGTGAGTTGTCATGAGCTCGATTGCTTATTCCTCAACCTTGTCCTGCTTGGTGTAGTTTCTCGGCCAATGTTGGTAGGGGCGACCTGTATGATACCGGAGTCGACAGAAACCGAGAGCCATGGGACACACGATTCTGCCTCCGATCCCAGGCTAACCTCAGTTTGCCTTGTCTGCTTTTTCACCGTGGCTATGCTTTCGCACCGTGAAGGGGGTAGTTCCCTCCTTTTCTACCCCTGAGAAAGAAAGAGAGAGGAGAGAGAGAGAGAGAGAGAGAGAGAGAGAGAGGCAGAGAGAGAGAGAGAGCGAGAGAATGAACCACTAGTTGTTTCACACTACACCAGAAGCGCCGGGGAGCGAGGGTCCGCGTTTGCGCCCCATACGCTGTGCAAGCAAGCAAACGAGAGAGAGAGAGAGAGAGAGAGAAAAGATAAGTTTACTTGTCATGCAACCTTGATTTGCTCGGGGGAAGGCCAGCTCTCACTGCCCTTGAGTAGCCGACTGGACGCTGCCTTTTCCTCTTACGTAGGAGAGAGAGAGAGAGAGAGAGAGAGAGAGAGAGAGCTCCCGCATGTAATACCATGCACCCAGCCAACAGCGGGCTGCCCCTGGTTGGGGGCTTGCCCCTCGAGCCTGGCGAAAAGAGAGAGAGAGAGAGAGAGAGAGAGAGAGAGAGAGAGGTAGAGAGAGACAGAAAGGGGTAAAGCCCCTACACCACAGCCCTGGCGAAAGAAAAGACAGAAAGAGGGGGGGGGCCGGAATGCTGGCGAGAGTTCAGGGTTTGGGGCATGAAGAATGTTGCAAAATCCGTGGGGGAAGAACTCCCAACACAGATCCCAACGCCTCCTTCCACCAACAGGCATGAAGGGGGGGGCCTAGGCCCGGGTCTGTTCCCAGCAGCGAGCGAGCGAGAGAGAGAGAGAGTGAGGCCTCTGCAGGGGTAGGGGAATCTCCCTTGCCCCATAGCCCTGCCGAAAGAAAGAGACAGAGGCCCGGATGCTGCCACGACCCTCAAGCCCGGAAGAGAGAGAGAACCCGAGACAGGGAGACCGTACGCAGCAGGGGACCACAGAACTAGACAGTACACTCAGCTTGTTGTGCTTCGCGCAATGTGTTGCCCTGGACTCCTGTAACTTGCCAACTGGGGAACATGCCTGAAAGCGAGCCCCACGGGCACGGGTGTGGTAGCCCAAGGGGGCGCGGTGAAAAGGCCGGGACGCGGGAGGTTTCGTGTAGGGGAGTGCAGCATGCACTTTCTGACAAAGGGCACCGAGCCGATACCGAAGTTATCGGCTCGAGGTGCCACTTTTGTTCTTAGCTCTGGCCTGCGGCGCCATGGCTTGTTCCGCTCGCGGTGTGGAGTTTGCCTTTCGTCAGCTGGCTGCCGTAAGTGTTTTGACTGGCATTGAGACGCCCGAGGTCTACGACCTTTCAGACTCGGCGATTGCACATTTCTTCCTTGGCTAAGGCACTCATCAAGGATTGCATAAGGTCGATCAAGCGGGGCCTTGGCCCTGCCGCGCTGAAGGACTCTTTCGAGGTCAGCATCTTGGAGTCTCAGGTCGACCCGGGTTCCGTGTACGAGGCCTTCTCTTGGTCATCCCTGTCTGCGGCAACTGATGCCCTCCTCGTAGGGCTATACTTTTGTATGAGGGAAATTGAAATGGCCGGGGCAGATTCGGCGCATTTGTACTTTAGTGATGGTATGGTACACTTACTTCTCCCAGTGCATAAAATTGCAACCGCTGGCGACCTGACTGAACGAAGCTTATAAGATGCTCAATTCGGATACAGAGCCTGTGTCCCTTCCATGCGGCTATGCGCCATTTGCAGCGATTGGAAATTTTGCAGGCGTCTTTGGGTCTCTCTAAGATCCCCCTCTTTCCAGGCGAATCGGGCGAGGTTCGCAGCAAGTCCCAGATGGTTCAGGTAATCCGCCAAACATTGGCCCGCGCAGGGGTCTCGACCCAGCGACCAGACGAGGCTGGCCGAATGATTGTACGTTTTGGAGGGCACGTCCTCCGTGTATTGGGAACGCAACACTTGTACTTGATCGGTTTGCGCTGGGACCTCGTACAGCTTCATGGCAGATGGCACGCGCTGTGTCGCAGGCTTTATCATGTGGACAGACTTCCCCGGAGGCAGGTGGCAATCCCCCGCTGGGCACGATCGCCACTGGGGTTGATCAGGACGTTAGCATGGCGGAGCCGGGGGAGGCACACGCCGTCTCATGTGCCCCACCCCCCACCAGCCCAGCAGAGCAGGAGTCAGATAGACTGCGCCACAGGGCGGCCTTGAGGCTCGACTTTCAGGGCTTCGCGGAGGACATGGCAGAGGTAGAGACTCTGGTTGTGAATGCTAGGACCAAGAAGGCTCATCTTCCTGACGCTCGGGAACGAACACAAGACCCGGCAACTTGGGCTACGGCCTGCGGCATCCTTTACGGTAATTCTAGATTTTTCAGGACGAGATCGGATCGCCCAGAATGGGCAAAGTGTTTGCGGTGCTTCCCGCCCTCGACCGAAGAGTCCGAGCAGGCGGCCCAAGATGAGGGCACAGGTGCCGAGGAGGGGTCCAGTGATTTGGACTCGTCTTCCTCCGATAGCAGCCCTTCATCCTAAGTGTTGCCACGTGCGGCGAGACACAGGTGAGATTGGAAAACAGACATCACGCCGGAGACGGTTGTTCCTTCGCCGGCCGCTAGGTTTCGCTTTGAGTTTGCTTTGTGCACCTGTCCCCGCATGCCTCGACCACAGGACTTGGGATTGCCGGTGACCTCACCGCTACGAGTTCCAGGACTGATGGTGGTGTCACCCCCTCCGATGTACACACCGTGCGTTGATCTGCAGGAGGCAGACTGAGTCGGCCAGAGGGCGCCGACTTTTGTTTGTGTGTGAGGCCTGCGATCGGCGCGTGAGCTGATTCCCCCGGGCAGTCACCTGAATTTTTATGTGCTGGGACAGGTGGTTCCCGATCGAGGAAGCTGGACCAGAGCGAACGAGACGGTCGCGACCTGAAATGATGGGGCGCAGTGCGTGTTTGTTGCAGTGCCACTGGGGTTCACATGTGAGTTCCGTCGCGTCATGGAGGGACCAGCAGCATAACATGAGCAAGGAACGAATACACGTCGCATAGATTTTTTTGCTGCAGCTGCTCCTCGAGCGGGGGCCGTTTTCCCTCCAGGGCCATGGAACTCGATGAGATAGCGACCAAAGCGGGAGCGGGCTCAGAGATACGAAAGTATCTCAGCATCAGGGGAGTGTGCTCCGCAGGGACGCTAGCTATGATAGCAGCTGATGAACAGAGCTTCCGAACGGTCTTTGTTGCACCCCTGATGGCAGGGTTCACTAGTGGGCCGGAAAGCATAAAGATCGCTGAAGCGGACAAACCCATAGCGACTGCAGTGCTTCTGTATATGCGACAACTCGCGATCAAGGATCAAGCTTCGACTGCTGGTGCTTCTGCCCCGACAGGCCCTACGACAGGTACCCTATTACGCCGTCCACTCCCTCTTCGACGACAGCTGATGACAAGGTGCCTCAGGCTCTGCCTCCCGGAGTCTGGGCGGCTCAGCTCAAGAAGTACGAGGATGTGACGATCAACGGCAGGAACCGGCGCTTCCCGCAGCAGATGGTTGTGGGGGCTGAGTCGTCATTGGCTAAGTTGTGGCATCAACTGAAGACAAGCTGGGCTTTCGCCCCTCTCCCTCTAGGACAGATCATGTCAAAGCGGAGCTTTGACGCCACCGGTCCTGTCCAAGCGGAAGCAGAAGAGTGATTTGGTGATCGATGTCGACCGGGACAGGCTGGTCACAGAGGAGCAGGACGATAGTTGGGAGCCACGCTCCATGGTGGCAGTGTGTGATGCACTGAACGGGCTCCGTCGATTTGCTGATTAAGCAGGCCCGCCTTCGCCCGAACCTCCTCGACAACTTCAGGGCTTACTATGAGGCTGCAATGTGGCAGTTGTGCACTGCCCTCAGGAGCAGCAAAACCTTCGCTGAGGGTTTGCAGGTGGTGAAGGACGACATCAACCTGTATCAGGAGCACATGGCCCCCGCCAAACCCACCGGGGACAGGGAGCGGAAGCGGGCACCGCCAGCGCCCAAGTGGACCGGATCAGCCAAGTGGGGTGGATGGAGGCGACGTCCGTCTCAGAAGCCCCGCGGCTAGGGATTCGGATCCCGGGCAAGGAGGCAGTCCGGGAGGTTCCGTACCAGAGCGGCCGCACTTTCACGGCAGCCAGCGGGAAAACTATGTTGCGACCGACACCTAAGGTCAAGGGCGGCATGGCGCATCGACGCTCCAAGGACAAGGTCACCTGGGCCAGTGGCTCCCCGGACGTGGGCCATTCAGATGTGCAGCATCCTGGTCGCAGGAGCTTGGGCCAGCAGCGCCAACGTTGGGATGTGAGCCTCCCTTTCCTCCGCCAACGTTTATCCAAGCTGCTGGACCAGGACTTGGACATTCTCCGCAAATTGATACACCTGGACTTCTTCTCGGGCATGGGCAGCGCTTCCTTGGCGCTCCAGCGACTGGGGAAACCAATCCGGTGCACCTTCCAGTGGGAGATTGACGAGGCGGCGATGCGCATCGCCAAGCGAGCCACAAGGAAACTTGTTGTTTCGCAGCGCGGGGATTTTGAAACGGGACGAGCCGGCCACGCAGCAGCAGCAATTCGAGCAGTCAGGGGCGTTGAACACGATCTTCTGCTGGTGACAGCGGGGGCCCCGTGCCCAGATTTTTCGAAACTGAGCTCATCTGCTGCTGGCCGAGAAGGAGCCTCTGGAGATCTGTTCGTACACTTTACCAAGTTTTTGGCCAAGCTCTTGGCCCATTTTCCGGGCCGTAAAGCCTGTCTCTTGGCCGAAAATGTGGTGATGAAGAACTTGGGGGATGTGCAATTCTTCTCCAGAGCCCTGCACGCCGAACCGGTCGTAGCAGATGCCAGCGACTTTCAGGTTATCTCTCGACCAAGACGTCGGTGGTCATTGGATACAGTGGCCGGAAATCACATCCTACCCAGGATCCTCTGCTCCCCTGCGATGGGCTCAACTTCCCAACAAGCTGGCCCAGCTCCACTTGCAGGTGACCCCCGACCGCATCGATGACATGCAGCCGGATGGTTTGGCATTTCATGCAAGCGTCATGGCTGGGAATCATTTACTCCCCTGCCTGACCTGAAGCCGGACGTGACCCACACGCGGTCGGTGGCTTCAAGCCAAGCGGCAGTACGCCCCGTGGTTTTATGATGAGAGGAACATGCCCACGGACGCGCGTGGGCAGTTTCACGGGCTCCCCATTTATTCTGACAGCCCCTCTTTGACCGAGAAGGACAGGCACCGTCTGTTACACTAGGAAACAGCTGGCATGTGGATGTCGCCAAGCACATGCTGGATTTTGCTCTCCGATATGGAGTGATCACTCTGCCGGGCCCTTTTGGCCATAGCAGCACGAGTGCTGATGGAGTTCGCGACCTGCGCTCGGCACAGAAGGCTGCCGCAGCCGCACCATTGCCCATGAGCCGGGCAGCAGAAATGAGTGAGCATGTGCACATGGTTCCTGTGTCGTCGATGTGGGAACACTGGGAGGCCTCCTTTAGTGCAGTTCACCCCAGCCTCCTCCCAACCCTTTTGGACCCGAGCTTGGAGATCACGGTGCAACGACTGGTATCATTGGGTCCTGAGAGGGTCAATCAGATTCGTTCCCAGGTGATTGCAGACATTCAAGAGTTGCGTGATGCCATGTGTGATGCTACGAGGACATGGCATGACAGTCTGGCACCGCACATCAAACGAGCATATACATTACCGGATGGGTATATCGTTCAAATCCCTTTGTTCATCGCGCTACTCCGAGGTGCGGGCTACCCCGACTGTGCTGCGTTGCAGGAGGCCTTGACTTCTGCTTCCCGGTTACAGGTCAGCTGTCACGCAGCCCAGGCTGGCGTCCCAGATTGGACGACAGGTATACATGCCAGTCCCATTTCCATGGAGGCGTTCGCCACATTGAATCATGATTACATTGTTCGTAAGCTGAAGAACGGTCGGGTCGACCCGGAGTGGCAGACGATGCTTTCTGAGATTATCGCCGAGGTGCAGATCGGACGGATGACAGGGCCGTTTGAGGCGCCCTCGAATTGGCCCAAGGCGTGTGTGCCCGTGCATTCCCATTCCGGTTTACAAAGCTGTATGCCATTACCATACCACGACATTCGGGTGGCAGGAGCCTTTTCAGTCACTCAAGTGGGGAGTGACGGCGCCAAGAAGGTGCGCCGATGCGAGGATTTCCGTCGCAGTTTTCACAATGCAACGATTGGCGCAGGAGACATCCCTGCTCATGATACCATTCATACTTACGTTGGCGTTCTGCAGGGGCTCGCTCGCGCCGGTTTTGACACGAGGGTTTGGTGTCAGGATTTGTGGGCGGCTTACCGCCAATTTCCGGTCGCTCGGCCTAGCGACTCCTTCACACTGTTGGCGACACCGAGCGGGCCCACTCTCTGGGCTCATGCTGTACTCCCATGCGGGGCTGCATCTTCCCTTTGCTGTTTCAATAGATTCGTGGACGCACTGGGGTTTCTGGCTCGTACATTATTGATTCTTTTGATCATTCATTACGTGGATGATATTGGAGGCCCTGACACAGCGGAGGGTGCAGTGCCTGGCTTTTCAGCGTTCGCCGAGTTGTGTGAGATATTTGGAATGCGGTTGAAACCGAGTAAGGCTCAACCCCCTGACGTTAAGCATAAACTGCTGGGCGTCATTCTGGAGATTCTTCCTCACGGAATCCGGTTGGCGCCTTCACCAGATCGCTTGGAGAAGGTCATTGGCACAATTCAGCAGGCTTTGGACACAGACATGTTAGAACCAGAGGTCGCTCAACGCCTCGCTGGGAAGCTCAACTTTCTTCAAACCACCCTGTTCGGCCAGGTGGGGGCTGCTGCTTTGCGACCCTTATACTCACGGGGTCACGATGTCCAGAGAGAGGCATCTCCCGGGCTCAACACCGCGCTTAGGGCATCTTTGTTATTTCTGAGGAAGATGCTTCAGGACTCCCGACCTGAATGGTTCCCATTCGATGGGTCTAAGGAACCTAAGGCAGTGGTTTACGCGGATGCATGTTTCGCTCAAGGCGGCTCGCATTATGACCTGTCGGACGAGCCCCCAGCACACTGGACCTGCAGATCCTCAGGGCAGTATCGAAACGGCTGGGGCTTTGTGGTTCGCACAGTCCATGGTATCCGATTTGGTCTCGGTAGTGTTCCTGCACAGGTACTGCTTTGCTTTTCAAGTCGGAAGGCCCTTATCTACGCTCTTGAAATCCTTGCACAGATCGTTGCTGCGATCTCTTGTCATGAGATTCTTTGCTGCCCATATTGGGTCGGCTTTTGCGACAATTCCGCGGGGAGGGCTGCTCGGCTGTGGGCGAGACCAAGCGATCAACAATCTTTTGGCATGTTTTTGGTCGGTTGTAATCTTGAAAGGCTGGCAACCCCATTTTCAGTTGGTACCGAGTGATCACAACATATCCGACCCCTTTTCTAGGGGAGATCCATCAATAGGTCGCAGGCATGGTTGGGCTGAGCTCCATTCGGATCTTCACGATCTATGGCATATCCTTCTGCGAGTGGCCACTGATTTCGATTTCGCGGTGGACAAAGCTGCGGCAGCGTTGCTTGGGCTCCACTGGCACTTTGTGTAGGGTTACGTGTTGCAGAACCATACAGAACCTCGACACGTGGTGGGCTGCGGGCTGTGACGAGGTGGTCGAAAGGTCTCACAGACCGGTTTTTGAATTCAAGATAGCACGGATTCTTAGTGCACTTCGAATGCCAACCCGAAGGGTGACGGAAAAGAAGCAGCGCTGTGCAGTCGCGCTTTGATCATGTCTTCGGTTCGTATATCTTTGTCAAGGGTGGGGTTCGCTGCATGAGAACCGGGGGCACACAGTGTAGTTCAGTGCCGCGATCTGGGGTAACCCCAAAGCCAACCACTCACTAAAACAGTGCGGGGTGAAAGAAGAGAGAGAAGAGAGAGAAGAGAGAGAAGACAGAGAAGAGAGAGAAGAGAGAGAGCGAAGGGTCGGGCGGTATATCAACGGACACACTCCACATGTTACACCGACCTACGATTGCAAACCCGTCCTTCGACCCCAAAGCCTTGTTCCACTAAAGATGGGGGGATGGGGGGGCCTAGGCCCGGGTCCGCGCGCGGACCTGACCCCAACGGAAGGAAGGAAGGAGGAGAGAGCGAACAGCAAGCAAGCAAGCAAGCAAGAGAGCGAGCATAGAGAGAGAGAGAGAGGAAGACAGAGAAGAGAGAGAGACAGAGAGGGAGCAATCCCCAGCCCACAGCCCTCGCGAAAGCAAGAGAGCGCCGTCGGCTTTGCAACGGGTGGATCGCGCCGGTGGCTCCGTGAGACGTGATGTTTGGCATGTGATGCGCCGGGGACCCTATTTTTCTTGACCTTTTTTTTTTCTTTGCACTTTTTTTTTTCCCTTTGGGGGCCTCGGTGTTTTCTATTACAGCTGCTACTGCACCTACTCCCACTAATACCTCCTGCTACACCTACTACTACTACTACTACTACTACCTCCTACTACTACTACTACTACTACTACTACTACTACTACTACTACTACTACTACTACTACTACTACTACTACTACTACTACTACTACTACTACTACTACTACTACTACTACTACTACTACTACTACTACTACTACTACTACTACTACTACTACTACTACTACTACCACTACTACTACTACTACTACTACTACTACTACTACTACTACTACTACTACTACTACTACTACTACTACTACTACTACTACTACTACTACTACTACTACTACTACTACTACTACTACTACTACTACTACTACTACTACTACTACTACTACTACTACTACTACTACTACTACTACTACTACTACTACTACTACTACTACTTACTGCTTACTACGACCACCACTGCTACGACTACTGCTGCTACGACTACTGCTACGACTACTGCTACGACTACTGCTACGACTACTACTACTACTACTACTACTACTACTACTACTACTACTACTTCACCTACTTCTACTATACCTCCTACTAGACTACTACTACTACAACTACTACTACAACACTACTACTACTACTACTACTACTACTACTACTACTACTACTACTACTAGTACTACTACTACTACTACTACTACTACTGCTACTACTACTAGACCTCCTACCAGACTATACTACTACTACTACTACTACTACTACTACTACTACTACTACTACTACTACTACTACTACTACTACCACTGCTACTACTACCACTGCTACTACTACCACTGCTACTACTACCACTGCTACGACTACTGCTACGATTCCTGCTACGACTACTGCTACGACGACGACTACTACTACTACTACTTCACCTACTTCTACTATACCTCCTACTAGACTACTACAACTACTACTACTACTACTACTACTACTACTGCTACTACTACTACACTACTACTACTACTACTACTACTACTACTACTACTACTACTACTACTACTACTACTACTACTACTTCACCTACTTCTACTATACCTCCTGCGTGGGGGATTGATCTCGACTTGGTTGCTGCTCTCCCCACCAGAGCTGTAATGAATGTAGGTGTGGCTGGCTAGCACTCTCCACAGACTGGACCTTGTCTCTCCCTCTTACTTCCACACGTGCAATCCTATGCAGGCAGAACCGGCGGCCGTTCCTTTTGCACTCACTGCCGGCGGCGGTTCGTCTGTGCAACGGGATAGCTCTGATTGCTCAGGATAGAAGACACATATAGCACTTAGCTATGGGCATTGACTTGAGCCAAACGTTGCGGTGGCGGTCACATAGAAAGGTAAAGATGAGGGATGCGTAGCATGCCCCCTAGAGTCGAGGGACGCGTAGCGTGCCCCCTTCTCTTGCACTTTACACGGTCTTGCTCACAGCTCTTATAGTGACACCTTAGAACTTGACAAGGCATCGCAGTCCGTTCGCACCCCCCATGAGTTGCGTCTCTGACGCTGCTCACCCGGAAGATGGCACGATAGGACAACAGAAAAGTTCCGCCGCAACGTTGACATTGAAAATCAGAGCTTTGCATCCCAATTAGAAACGTTGTGACACTCATCTACGTCAGTAACGATCCCCTGAAATGACAAACGAATCAGGCGTCACCGAAGAAAGAAGCATTCGCGATGGCATTCCATGGGCGAAGCTCAGAGGTCACGAACTGATAGGCTAGGAAGATCAGGCGTTGTCTCGCCACCATCTTCGCGTTGACGTAGGATCGCGGTCCCAGGGCCGGAGGTTCTCCTCTGGATACTGGTTCCTCTGCTTTCCTTTGTCCTTGCCTTTGTTTCGGCCTTTGCTGGCGATGTAGTCGTGGTAGGAATTGGTGTTCCAGCCACCATGTTGCTCACCTCCGGTTCTTCCACGCCCTTTTGAAGGTCCCTTGGATGAAGAAGCGCTTTCACGTTCCTCCGTAGTGACAGGCGTGTCCAGGATGGATGTACCACCTGGAGGAAGATAGTCGGCGGCCGAAATGTGGTGTAGGGCTTCCGTACGTTTGGTCGTCGGATTTTGCTGTCTCTCAGCTTTGGATCTGTTCAATCTGTCCATGAAATGCGCAGGCATTTGCACACTGTGGTCCACCAGCAAGCCAATGGTCTGGACTGACTGATCAGAATGAGTCAGCAGAATACCGACGGGGTCGATGTACAAGAAGTCCACTGGTCCAGTTGGCGTTGGTCGTAGCACCGAGAATTGTTGGTGTCCCGTCACCATTGGGATCACCTCGCACAGGACGTTCAGGCAACAAAAGTGCATAGCCTTTACATCTTCATCCCTTTCGCTCTTCAAGTAAGTAGTAGGGTTGAAGTTGTCCCTGCCAATTCCCATCATGTTGTCTCCCCGTGTAAGTAAAGAAAGCATCTGGTTCGTCCGGAAGCGCTTCAAGGTGTAAGTCCCGTTGGGATCATACTGTTTGAGGTTCTCAGGTTCCTTGGCAAAGCGAGTGATCTCCTCATCAGTCACATCCTTGCTCACACCCGTTTCCCTATCCACTGCCGCCAAAGATCCCCACTTTCCAAGCACATCATAGCGTTGGCCAAGTGCGAAACTTTCCCTCATCTGAAACAACGGCATAGTCGCCCACTTTGCGAATCATGACCAAGCTTTGTAGATGGATCTGCATACCACGTATGCCATGTACGAAAGAGCGGTCATGTTCGCGTCAATGCAATGGGCATTTCGCTTTCCAGAATAGTAGGATGGCTGCATGGCGGTGCGTGCAAGTTGTAGCTCAGGATCGATGTTCAAAGACTGGCCGGTAACGAAGACGGGACGACGTTCCTGTGCAATTGCTTCTGGTACTGCGTCATCAAAGTCCTCTCCTGGCTCTATGTCCATTTCTTCATCAGGTTCCTGTTCTGGATCGTCCTCCGCGATGACAGAGGGTTCTGGGATTTCCTCAGGTTCCGCAACGGTCTCTACCTCCATGGCTTCCTGCTCCTCTTCGGGCGCCTCAGGCACTGCGGCTGCTGCGGCTTCCATTGTCTGAGCAATGAAGTCACTGGGGATCTCCGTAGGAGTCTCCCGTTGTGGAGAACCTTGGTAATATCCACTCGAAACGAACTGTGACCAGCAAGACGTGCATCGGGAGAAACATGCTGGAACGATGTTGTAGCATGCCGGGCATACCCTCATTCTCCGTCCATCCTCGGCTCTGCGTAGGTCTTCGGGTCGCCAATTCTTGATGACAAACTTGATTCCTTTGTCCATGTAGTGATGCCGAACCGTGTTCTCCCTGTGGGACTCCAGGACAGGCGTGAGGTCACGAATGATCTGCTCCTTGCTTGTGTCGTGGGGTCCAGGAGGCATCTCGCAAAGCAATTCCATGATCTTGCTTGGCGTTCGGTATCTCTCGAACTCAGGAAGCAACGGTGATGCATTGTAGTCCAACACCAGCTCTTTCTCCAACCTTTCATCGTAGATCTTTTCCACCAGAGCGAAAGAGGGTGTATCTCGAGGATCAGGGACGCAAAACCATACCTCCTTGACGAAATGGAAAGGTATCGTTCGACCAACGATCATGATGCCGCTGTCTGTGATACGTCCATCCTCTCGTGCAAGATCTTGCGAGGGGACATGAAGGACCGCCAATGGCATGTGCTTGGCGTCTCGTCCATGTACTCGCATCTTGGTCGTTGCGTTCCGGTGATCGAACGGCGCAAACACCCCCAATAGCTGTGGAGTCTGCCACCTTGGTTGCCTCGGAATTGGCGCCTATGGTCGAAGTCCCCGTCGGGGTCCTCCGAACCAGGCATGATGCCTTGCGTGACAATGGAATCCAGGTTGCGGCATGCCGTAGCGTGGAACGCGCCTCCAAGACGTTGCACGAGGGTCATAGATGGAGATATTGCGAACCTGTTCTTGTCCAACTGAAGCAAATTGTTCTGGGGATCTGAATGCGCAGAGTGACCACTCGTAGCCCGAACTGCCCATGGCTTCACCCAGCCGTTGCATATGTTCAGGTACCTCTGGCCATGCCGGCAATGATCGTTGTTATGGATCTCCGTGATCTGGTCCTGAACCGATACCAACCTGTTCGAACCTGCTGATCCAAGAACTTCCGTGCCGGGGTCCTTCACTCTCACACCCAGGAAC